CATTATCCTACCCAACCTGCGTCATCTGCTGCAATATAGAGATAATAAGACATTTACTGTATCTTATCACCCAGCGATCTTGCAGGTTTCACTTTGGCTATTCCACAGTCCCATTTCGTAAGCCTCTTACTAACTTTTTTTTTAGCATTTATGCGGAATAGCTGTATAACTTACAATCAAGAAACTGGGTATTACAAGTGATACGGTATTGTAGAGAATATTAACGCAATTGGACTAATGACATGAATTGAGGAAATTGATAAGACTGAAAATTTGTTCAAAATTTTGACTGGAGCTTGATCAAACATATAATAGATTTGGTAAGATACAGGAACGATTGGTCCATTTAATTGAGGATGTCTTATTCGAAGTTCCACTATGACCCAAAGATGGAGAAAGCAAGTAATCAACCGATCATTCATTCATTTTTCAGATACGGTCTTTGCATTGCCAGCAGTTACGATTCTTAACGGCCTTCCAGGTGGTCTTTAAGATCATTCAATGACAGGGCACACAATGTGCTATCGTCACTGATGTTTGCGGGCCATTGCTAATCAATCAAAGAGAATGCGTAATAAAAGCCTTTGGTAATAATATGTGACCTTGTCATGAGTGCCTAAGAACAGATGTACAGTGGCCACTGGAAGATTACACACTTCACATCAATTATCTTGAAAAACAAAATCAAAATAACATACTGTTAACAGTTCTGTACAGCAAATCACTATCAAATTGGTTATACGTACTGTCACGCTCAGAAACACGAAAAAGTGCTACTCTGCAAAAGCTTGTTTAGAAATGATGAGAATCAAATAGATTTCTTTTTTATAATTTACAGAAGGAAAATTATGTAACGTGGCGAAATCACTTTGACAACGCTTCGATTCTATTCTCGGACCAAGGTTTTCGTTATGGCAACAAATTCAAAAAATTTCCGATTTTTTGAATGTCTTTCGAATATTTACTCCTTTCATACAAAATGAGGCTTTCCCTGTTAATAAATGGTTGATTTCGAATCAAATCAACCAATCAGAATAAAAAGCGACATTTAGAGAGGTTCTCTGATCGTTCGTTACCATACCCTAAGAACTCCAAGCAATCATATGCTGCAATGTTGAGGTTACTGACATTTTTTAATTCAGTTTCATTTTGATCCTTCCCATCTTCACAGGCTCACTTTATAGGTACTTACCATTCCAGCATCTAGTATTGCGTATATCCATGGAATTTACAATAAAGAGGGCCTTGACGTTGTCCTTATCTTGTTTTGAAATCAAGCACAAACTCGAGAGTTGTGTGAGCACATCTTGTTATAAAACAAACCATGGAGCTTAAAATTTCTTCCTCTGAGCGACTGATAACTTGGAGTATTT